ACAAGTTCTACTAAACTATGCTTTTGGTGATGATGGTATATTTTTGTTGCCTTGCCTTATGGCGATTCAAACATATAGCTTGTTGGCTATAACAGAAGCATGGACAATGCATCCTGGGGCGTACGGCTATAACTAGGAACTGTAATAAATACCGACGTGGAGAGAAATACAATTCCAACATCTGAAGTAAATTTAAATAGTTTGATCCATTGTTGGATGTTACACACCTAAAACAAATAAAATAAAATATTAATTCAAACTACTCATCTATCGTGATTATTTACGTACTATGTACGAATAATCCTTAATATATGCATGCAAGCACGAGGCCATCGGCCTTACTACTGGTGCCCCTCTCGTCCACCTACCCAATGTGTATTCGATCACGAGGTTACCTAAGTTAATGTCATTAAATACGGGGACACTTCTTCAAGGATTTTAATTTTCAGCTTTGTGGTGTATGCCTATCATATTGAAACACTACCATACTAACGTGATATTTAAACATGACTCCTAGGACTTGATGATTAAACTTGTATGTGCATATGCAGCAGTAGCACTAAACATAGATATGTCCATAACAATACAAAACAAAATTTTACATTAGCACTCAAGCCGATGAGGGAACTATATAGTGTTCGTAACAAAGCAAACAATGAGGTTTGATACATTAGTTCCTCTGCAGGGAATACTGAAACACGAACAGGCAGATAGCGAAAACCAAGCAATTCACAGAGATTAGAAATTACAGTAATATGATATAATTATCGAATATATGGTATCATATATATATATATATATATATATATATATATATATATATATATATATATATATATATATATATATATATATATATATATATATATATATTTTTATTAACAACTTCAAAACGTAGAATTTACGACTGAATTCAATATCATTGTCTACGTCATTCAATATATTCTGTTTCTAAGTGATCAATAATATCAACAATATGCCATAAACAATATGACGTCATAGCTTCAATTTTACATATTTTATTAATGAAGTGTATATATATATATATATATATATATATATATATATATATATATATATATATATATATATATATATATATATATATATATGAGAAACGTAAAATATCAAAATATATTATTGCTTATTTATTTCACGATAGAAGTTTTGTGCACTTTCTAAACTAACAGATGTATGTTCGAACCTCAGAGAATTTGAAAAAGGTAATTATATAATGACAATAATTTATTATTGCGTATTTAATGTTATATTTTGTTTTATTGTCTTTAAAATATAAACTATTGTATTGTCAGCTAGCCGAGTGTTTAGGAAATTGATGTTACTGTGGTGGCGCTCACCAGTTATTATGTACTTTTGAGAGAGTGCTGTATGTAAGGTGAAGTTGTTTGCATTTTAAACATGCACAGTGCAGAGAATGTTGGCATAACTATATACTACTTTCATGTAATGTGGATGAAATTTCTTTGGATATTGTTCTTTTGGAAATTTCAAATGATCTTGGGACACTGCTAACTAAAATGACTGCTCCCTTGTGCTCCAAAAATCAACCTAAATTTGTCTAAAGTACACTATTCTTGGCAGCTATTAAAATATGGAAAATGAATTTTGCCAAACTAGATAATACCAGCTTCTAAAAGTGCAATGACTGAATTACCAAATACATAAAATGTAAAAAAAGTTATCGGCTCTTTTTTTTACAATTTACCTCTGAAGTTCGAGAAGTGAAAATGAGCAAGTAGAGCTAGCACGTTTTTGAAAGGTGCACATCTGGAGTAAGGCCAAGCTGTATATTCTCTAACCCATATTACACCCATCAATCATACATCAAAATAAAGGGAATGAAAGGTTTTTTGAACAACACCTAAGATATACAAAGTCTCTTTTAAATAACCAGTTTAACTAGTGAGGCAACCCTGGGAAACTCTTTTTCTTTAAAATTTTAACCCTATGCTAAATACGAAACTGTAGAGCGCCACCTGTTTTATTTTTGGTGTTTTGTGTGTATTAACCCCAATTAAAAACATTATCTCTGCAGTAACTTATTGTTTGTTTTTCGTTTTAGTCAGAAGTACCCTTAAACTTATTTATATCTTTCTCTTCTTCACATTTGGGTCACTTACCAACATGTACCATTGAACTCAGTGTCTCTTAAAGGTACGTAACAATTTACCAGAGAAAGTTTAAATTCAGGATAGGGCTGTGCAGTTCGGTGTCGCCAAAACGATAAGCAGTAACGCACAAGAGTAAATTTAGATTCCTTTTACCTTAGATATGAGTGTGAAATCCATTAGCCTTCAGGTACAAAATGGCATACTACCTTAAATTTAGATTCCTTTTACCTTAGATATGAGTGTGAAATCCATTAGCCTTCAGGTACAAAATGGCATACTACCTTAAATTTAGATTCCTTTTACCTTAGATATGAGTGTGAAGCCCATTATCCTTCAGGTACAGAATGGTATAATACATTAAATTTAGCTTTATTTCACCTTAGATATGAGTGTGAATCCCATTATCCTTCAGGTACAGAATGGCATAATACATTAAATTTAGATTTATTTTACCTTAGATATGAGTGTGAAGCCCATTACCCTTCAGGTACAGAATGGCATACTACATTAAATTTAGATTCATTTTACCTTAGATAAGAGTGTGAAGCCCATTACCCTTCAGGTACAGAATGGCATACTACATTAAATTTAGATTCAGTTTACCTTAGATATGAGTGTGAAATCCATTACCCTTCAGGTACAGAATGGCATACTACATTAAATTTAGATTCATGTTACATTAGATAAGAGTGTGAATCCCATTATCCTTCAGGTACAGAATGGCATAATATATTAAATTTAGATTTATTTTACCTTAGATATGAGTGTGAATCCCATTATCCTTCAGGTACAGAATGGCATACTACATTAAATTTATATTCATGTTACATTAGATAAGAATGTGAAGCCCATTACCCTTCAGGTTCAGAATGGCATACTACATTAAATTTAGATTCATGTTACATGTACAGAATGGCATACATTAAATTTATTTTCATGTTACATGTACAGAATGGCATACTACATTAAATATAGATTCATATGCTTAGGTTAATAATGTAGGATCACCGGAAGGTACACAATCATGTATCACAGCAAATTTATTTAACTATTCATGCACTACAGATATGTAAACGTGGTCCACCACATTACCTCTACGCCAGTTGTGCAAACATAATCATGTCTTATCTGATGTGCACACATTTTAATCGTATACACCACACCCCATTCCTGCTTTAATCAACTCTACCAACTCTATCAACTCTACCAACGCTTCACCCGCATGTCTGCAATCACATGTCAATAGTGATTGATGAACAAGCCGAATTACTTGGAAATATTTTAGGATTTTAGAATGCATACCTTTTTTCATTTGAACAGTATAATAACTTTGAAAACCAGCAAAATTAAAGACCGAATTTTATGAAATTACTAGGATATTTTGTAAAGTGAGTAGTGAAGACTGATCATGACATAATGTGAAATTACAAAGGACGGCCGATTCATGTCAAGACTTACACATATAATACTAAAAGCAGCCTCGCTTGGTGCTCAGCATTAAGAGGTTAGTGTTAGGACTGGTTGGCATGATGTCAGGATAATGTGAATGGGTGGGGACATCATGCTACATGTCTGCAGCATGATGCTCCAGTGCTAGACATCACTATAAACTGTCACACTGCTGAAATCGTAGCGATATGACTGAAAAATTGTTAAAGGTACGTTAAAAATCCATATAACATACACACTTGTCTACCACACAAAAACCGAATTGATGTAGTTTGATCGAACCGATTATAAACTCATCAAATCGTCTGATATGTATGTTGGGCTTACCGTTGGCAGATTTAAGCAATCAATAACTACGTTTTCGATCACAGATAATATTCAGTCCTTTGTTCCTACGTCCGAGGTGACCAGGGTTTATTTGGCTCTTCAGAAGAATATCATTAAAAAGCACCTAAGAGCTCAACAAGCAAGATGAGTTGTTGTTTGAGTACAAATACCCATTCAAAAAGCACTGAATTACCTTTCAGTTAAGTTTAGCAGGGGAACAATTAAGATCCCTTGAAAATTTAAGCACGTATTATGGACTGCGCAATAAACACCATCTATTTGAAAAGAACTAGACGTTGAACAAATAGTCTATCGGTTTTAGATTGACGTGTTTACAATATCTGATAAAATAGCTTCGCGGCAATCTAATGCGTCGTTTTATGCACTTAATTTATAAATTATTCAATTCAGTTCAAGACTTGCTTACAAATATAACAGTCCTGAGTGATTATCATATGCTGTATTTGGTGCTTTAAGTATAACTCAACATGGCAATTGTCAAAAGCTGAAAAGGAGAGACTGGAAATATTTTCGCAATATTTTGGTGATAAAATAAATCAGAATTGATAACGGATCTCTTATTTTAATAGCTTCATAAACAAATTTTGCTAAATAATATATTATTATCTTGTTTTTATAAGTTAACAATTCAGTGATTCATTCCAGAAGTATTTTCCAAACAGGTTTATACTCAAGTTGGTATATAAAAAGTATATTAAATTGAAATGGTATTCATCTTTAATGTCGTGATTGGCAAAGAGCATAAAATATCTTTCACTGCTATTGTTTCTTTTGCTTCCATACCTCTCAGTCTCAATTATCGGATAATAGGAGGACATTCAGAGTTTTGTCAAAACAGATCGATGTTAATGGTTTCGCAAGTATTTAAATAATCTTTGAAATCAAAAGTCGGGTTTAATATGTTTATATACAATCAGTTTGTTAGATGTGTGTAATATATTATTCCAGTCTGATAGAAAATCATATCTAACCATTTGTTTAAAAATCTGAGTAAACGTGAGGGAATTTCTCGAATCAGAACACAGTCACACTTCACCAAAACCAAAATCGGTTTAGAGTCTCTTTTATGGGCGCTCACGTGGCCTAGTGCTTAAAAAGTCCACCTCGGATGCGGGAGGTCGTGGGTTCGATCCCCGACCGAGTGATATCAAAGACTTATAAAAATGTAACTAACAGCTGTCTCACTTGGCGCTCAGCATTAAGAGGTTAGTGTTAGGTTTGGTCGGCCTGGTCCAGGATAGTCTGCCTGGCTGATACATCATGCTACATGTCTACGGCATGATGCCTCAGTGCTATACATCACTATAAACTGCCACGCTGCAGACATCGTAGGGATATGTCCAAAACATTGTTGAAGCTACGTTAAAAAAAATCCAAATTACGATTACAGACTTTTTAAGAGAGTAACCCAGTTGACACTATTGTTTGAGTTTTGTTCAACATATAACTGCAAATATGCAAAGATCAGTATATTATTGGTAGAGATTTCTACTCTAAACGAATATTTGATTTATTTAACCAGCTTAAATATGTAAATTTGATTCTTCCAAATTCACCGTATATAACAACGTCACAAGTAGATATTTTTTAAATTTAGCAAATATTTTAAAAACATTCGTTTTACACGTACATTGATCTCAGCTTGATGAAAAGCCTACTTCACAAAAGCGTAATTCAGCACTGGAACAACACAAATATAAAAAAATTTGAATTTTTTTTAACATTTATATAACTTTATTCAAATTTCAAATAATTAATTGCCTTTAGTGCTTCATCAGCTAATGCTTGTTAAGCTTCAGAGAATTTTTTATTGCAATTTTCCACCACTTCAAAATTACTCTCGCCTACGTTCCATACTTCGTTTTGCCTTAAAGCACCGCCTTTTCTAAAGACAGTAACTTTAGTTTTATCAAGATTAATATTTAGATTCCATTTATGACTGCAATCCAGCAAATTATTCATAAGCTCTCGAAAACCATCAATGTTTCCTGAAAATAAAACTAAATCTTTATCAAACAATGTTATAAATTAAGACAACTCATTTAATTCTATAACGATATCTCCCGAAAATTATGATGATGTTTCCAGATCTTCAATGAATAACGTAAATAGTATTGGTGATAACACTTCACCTTATCAAACTTATTCCATACTTAGATCAATAATGTTGGTATGCATTGAATCATATCTTCTTGCTTATTCACAGGCATTTTATGACAGGAGTATTGACACTGAATGGAGTATATATATATATATATATATATATATATATATATATATATATATATATATATAAATATATATACAGAACTATATATATATATATATATATATATATATATATATATATATATATATATATATATATATATATATATATATATATATATATATATATATATACCGATTATAAAATATCATAGCATAGTTCAATTTGTAAAAAATATATTTTCTGAAAACATCTGACAATTTTAGTGAAACAAAGTTTTATTGCTGTGATATTGTTTCTTTGTGTTGCCAAGAAAAAGCATAAAATAATTTTATCAAAGTTTCGTATGATTTTCCAGTTAAAACTAGAACGTGGCAGCATTTGAAAACAAATGCGAATTAAGTGCCTCAAAAGACATATATGACGACTTTCAAAACCATTTCTTCAATATAAATGGTTTGCTGAAATAAGAAAACAATATATAAATACGAAGTATCTCAAAATGTTAATAGATGAAAATGTAGTGAATTGCTAAATAAAACAATTGATAACGTCTAGGTAAGATTATGTGTGTTTAAAGAACAAAACCAGTCAGGTTCCAATATAAACACAGAGTAGTATTATATTACCATTTCATCCCGCTTGACATACATATTTTACGTGTCGATCGGAGCATCACTCTCTTTTCCATGCTCTATACTTTGCATTTGTACTGAATGAGTTTTTTCATTTGTGAAATCCTAAGTAAGGTATTCGAGTGTTGTCCAGTTCTGTTATGTTGCAGTGCCCTATTGTGTCTGTTCGTTGAGGGTATCAATGATTTAAATTTTATAAATGGTACTATATTAACAATAATCCGTTATTGAATATTACCGAGAAAGAGAGGGGCAGAAACATAGAGAAATCTTAATCCAGTGTACACTAACGCTACTTTGCATTTTGATACTTTATATTTATCACATTTGCTACCAAAAAGAATAAAATAAAAACATTGGTAACGACCACGCATATTCTGTAACTTGTAGTTTTAATACAAAATGAACTCGGTTTGTAGGGAGTGGGAGAAGGGGAATAGAGAAGGGAATAGCAAAATGGAGAAATAAATTTAAATAACATATACTACTACAACATGACAAAGGTGGAAATATTAAACCGATAGAGCATTGTAAATGTGTTTCTGGTGTAATGTGTTTATAATCAAACTTATTCAAAATTCATTTAAATGGCATATCATGTTTTCGACATTCAGAAATGAGCGACTAGAAATAGAATTTGTCACACTCTGTTCCATCTATCCATGGGTTTGCTGTCTGACACACATTTTAATAGATCAAATGATCTCTTATTTGTTTGGAAGAATATGACACAATTGTTGGAAATTGTTTCCGTTCAATTATTAATTTGACATCTGCAGTATCTGTCCAAAAGTCCTTGCGTATTTCTGTCAGTTTTCTTTCTTAATATGACAGTCAGTAGGGCTTTTATACACATGTTAAGTATATTTAGTTTGGTTATTTGTTTGTTAGTTTTTAATTTTTTAAATTCTATTGCATACTATTGTAATGTAACTTTGTTTACTGATTTTGACATTGACCAGAATTTGAGTTCAGTTCTGTTTGACCTGACTTAATTTGTTATTTCATTGATAAACAACTATTAATATAAACACAGTATCTAGTTGCTGACCCTGTTTCATAATCAATGACAGTTTTGGCAATCAAATTTTTCTAGTTTTTTTCTTTTTTACTTTCTCAGAGTAAGAATCATTAGGTTATGTCATTGGCATACCTGGATTACCTGACAAGTAGCATGTATCTATTGTTAAAATCTTCTATTTTTTTTCCAGAAGAATGAACTTTTGACCTTCATTCAGAAATCTGTTTGGCGTCTTAATTATCTTATAACTGTTGCTTTTGATACACGTTTGCTAGTTGGGATCCAAACAATTAACAGGTTAAGTTGTTCTTATGTTGTGACCATTTTGGACTGGATTTTATTTTCTTATTTATTGTCAATTCAATTTATTCTTGTCCCTGGAAATAAATAATTCATACTATAAAGATTCTTGGAAAAAGACATTTACTGGAAGTTATGCTGAATTACAAAATGGACTGTTGACAAAGCGGCACTTCTCTGAACACAACAGACGTTATCGCCTTCCATTTTGGATTTCATTGAAACTCGAACTCAGTTTCATTCAGGACTTTTTATTACTAGGACTTCTATTTTTAATTCTTAGATTATTTCTGGATTTAAATCGTAAAACCGTTCTTTATTTCTAATTTTTCACTTTATATTTTAGGCAAATACATTATTTGTTAAATTTTACAAAGTTTGTAGTCTTTCACTCTTTGCTGTCAAACTTAGACTTGAAACATAAAATTGGAGGTCAGTTCATAATATGAATTTGGGCTAAAATATTTCAGAAAACTTTGTTTTTTTAAATTTAAATTTCCATGGATTCAGAATTTTTAAAATTCCTTGTATTATTTCACATTTTAGAAATCTGTAATGAAATCAAAAATACATTTTTACAATTTCATGAAAAGTGGAAATTTTGTTAATTTTTTAAACCAGGAGTGGGTGGAAATTTTGAAAATGGAAGTACAGCTAAACAAGTTGGAATTAGAGATGTACAGTTTCATATAGAAAAGATACAAATGAAAAGGGAAAGGGAAGTAAGACAAATGCAGTTTGAAAAAGAAAATGAAGATAAGCTAATCCAAATGAAAATGCAAAGAGAAAAGGAAAATGGAATTTCAGATTATGTTAAAATATTAAGAGGAAAGGCAAAGAGGCAAAGGAAAAAAAACTCCCCTACTTTTGATGTTTTAAGAAATATGTTAGTTCCCCTTTATCTGTAAAAACAAATAGGTCAATATTTTGTTCATTTTAAGCAAAGTGATGAAATTTTCAAGTGGTCAAGAGAGAACTGGACTCTGTTATTAAAACAGAGTGGTAAATCTCGTGATATTTACATTTCACTGTCACTACAGCAGAGTGCTATGATGTGGTTAAGGTCTATATCTTGAAGGGTTATGAGTTAGTCTCTGAGGCTTATCGACAAGGTTTTAGGAGTTCTAGAAAATCAATTGACACGTCCTATTTTGAATTTGCACGGGAAAAAAGAAGAATGTGCTCTTTTAGAGACGTTAATAAAGATTACAAAAATGTCAGACAACTCATATTAGTGGAAGAATTCAGAAACTGTGTCCATAGCGAAATTTAGATTTAGCTTGATGAGTATATGGTCGAAATATTGGAAAATGCTGCTCGTACTGCTGACGAGTATTCTTTAGATCATAAGTTTCTTTTTTAAGTCCGTCTTCCACTCAGCTGTCGTCTCGTAAGAAAAGAATTTCAGCCTAATATCAACCGTTCTAAATTTCAATCTGGCACAACTTTTAAAAAATCATGATTCTGATAGGTTTGATCAGAAATCCTTATATCTTCCTACTTGTATGCAAGACGAAAGAACATATTATTTTTGATTGCAACAAATTCAAAATAAGCTTCAGAGTCAAGACAGATCTAACCCAAATGCTCTTATTTCCAAGAGATCAAGGTAATGGTCATGTATTGAAAGCAATACATTTGTTGAGTCTAATAAACCACAGTCTGATTTTATTATAGAGAATTATCAACTATTCATGTTGAAGGGCTCTATATCACTATTGGTTGATTCGGCCAATCCCATCCCTATTAAAATTTTAAGGGGCACGGAAGCTTATCAGTCTTTTTTATCGGTTACTTTGCCTTTTTCTGAGAAGTCTTCTTCCAATGAGTGTTCTTATTCAGCGAGTGAGTACAGCTTTATAATCATCCTCTCGATTGTGCAAAGTTGACATCAAACTTAGTCTCATGACACTTAACAATTGGAATAGTGTTTTCTTTACCCATTGAGGGAATCCATTTTATTACTAGACAATGACCTCG